CCCCCGAGGGAAAACATCCAACAAATCACAGGTGACATGCTTCTGTCAAAACCACAGAGCACAAAGGTATCAGTGTCAGGCTCGTACGAGCTACAAACCTAAAGGAAAACTGTTGTGATGTGCACAAAGCCAGCTCTGTTGCTCTTTGTAAACGCATTGTACAGGCAGCAAATAGGGGGGGTCAGCCATGTTTTTCCATATTTCCATAGCTTGCACATTCCACTGGGATAAAGCGGAGCGTTTGTTTTCAAAACCGTCGGCTTGTTTGCACTAACGAGATTCGCGCGACCGTCTGTGGCCGTGAGCGATGGCTTCGCATCAAAGCAGAACGCACGCAGCGCTCCTAAATATTCCCTTCGATCTGCGTTTTACCGTCTGTTTGAAGGATGAAACTCATTCGGTGAAGGTTTACACACCCGGCTGCCATGTTTCCCTGACTTTGGGGAGGAAAACGAAAAACCAGTATAAACACGAGGTAGGAATAAATGCAATTATAAAACATTTCCTGTGACATATATCGGTCCCCAAAAAAATCATGTTTCCAAACAATCTAATTCCAGCCAGGAATATATGGCGGTTTCAGCAAGAATTTAGCTGCTCTTCCATAAACAGACAGCTGCATATTTCTTTTACAGACGTTTGGATCGCTGCTCTCTTCACTGAGCCAAGAAGGATGAACTAAAAATACATATTTCAACGTTTAGAGGTCGTAAAACAAAACAGCATGTCATTATCAGCTGGCACGACTCCCATCAAGCTTTAACATTTACAGAACTTCTCCATAGTATCAGAGCATGAGAAAACAATATCATAGACTTAGACTCCTGGCTTTATTTCTCATTTCTGAGAACTGTTTGTGCTTCCAAAGTAATCCCACATCTTTGTCAGGACCAAAGTAGTCGCAGTAGACGAGGGCGAGATGAGAAAGAAAGCACTGCGGCTGAGGACAATTCCCTGGGTGTACTGATCCCTGACGTTATGGACTTGATCTCACAACCAGCGTGGATCAGATGACTCTCTGGGCCTTTGATCAGCCACCAGAGAAGATTTGCATGGTCGGGCAGTAAGGTGGCTGAGAGTGGAGCGCTGGCACAGTGCCGAGCCTGGACTGACTTCACACCTGCAGGAAATCAAGGCCACGGAGGCCACGTGATGACAACGATGGACTTTATCGTTTGCAGAGCAGAGAACTTCCTTCGTCATCCAGCGCGAAGCGTAAACTAAAGACACGCGGGATTGATGAAAAGTGCATACTTTGACAGAGAGTGACCTCCACGCTGACGGGTCAGCCAAGAAGGACGATGCATCCAGTGTTTTATGG